TATATGTATATATATATATATATATATATATATATATATATATATATATATATATATATATATATATATATATATATATATATATATATATATATATATATATATATATATATATTAAACTGTGGTATTGTTTTCTCCCAAAATCGATCTTTTTTATTTTGGTTTTCAAAGATTATATTTCAAATACAATATATAAAAAAAAAATTATTATAAAATGTGCTTTTTGGTATTTTTTATCATATGTAACAAAAATAGTTTAAAAATTTTAAAAACTAATAAAGTTATTTAATTTTTATTGTTCAATGATCGGTTTGACTCGCTTTTACTCTATACTGTTAGATGACATATTACTTTTTGGTTTAATTTTAAACTATATACTATATTTTACCTCTTAAAAAGTGCCCTATTAAATACAGCAGTTGATGAGATGCAGTATGGTAAAATATTTGGAACATACATAAACCTGTTTAGTTTTTGGTAACCAGCGTTAGGGCAGGTTCGAAAAGCCTTTTTTTCAAAAGGAATAACCTTTATAAACTAAATTGAAAATTCAAAAAAAAAAAAAAACATTTAGAAGGACACAATAATACCTAACATACTTCCTATAAAAACCTATTTAGTTTCAGGTAAAGATATTGCATGTGGATATTAAATTTTTTGTTGTAGCCATTGAAACTTGCGTCACGGTACAAACCTATTGTTCCTTCCATGACACATGTTTTAAATGCCTATAACTAAAAATTTAGAATTCTACTAACATTGTCTTTTCTCAAAATTAAATAGATATTTATAGGTAGTATGTTTGGTATTTTTGTCCCCTTCTAAAGGTTTTTATTTTTTTTTTTGAATTTCCAATTTAGTTTACAAAGGTCATTCTTTTTGAAAAACAAGACTTTTCAATCCTGCTCTTTAGTATTTATAAATCGATAAGTTTTTCTTGTTGAGCCACAGTTTTCTTTTTTTTTGGATCAGCACGCAAATTAAAAAAATTTTATGTTAAAAATTTAAAAGTTTCGATGTGCTCATCGAATTATTATTACTTTTTTTTTTTTACTCTTCAATAAAATAATCTACATTTAACAGAGTTATTTTTCTCTGTTGCAGTCATCATTGACTCGATAATCAACATAGTATTTGAGAACCTTGTAAATTCTCTGGAAATGAATGATTGATCATTTGTGTTATTAAAAAAAAAGTTCTAAAATGGTCGTTGCAAAATATTTTATTCGATTTTGTTTTGTCACATTCACTTAAACAGCTTTTGAAAATATTAGATTATTTGATAAAGAAAGTCTGATAAGAATCTTAATTTATATAAGAATATCTTGATTTATTAGGTTTTATAATAGAAATTTGGCACTACGAAACACGGCAAAACACTAGGATTATACCCAGTGATGTCATAGAGCCGGAACGGCCCGTAACGCTGCTCCGGTACTTTTATTTTCTATATGACACCACTGATTAGACCATCAACCCTTTATTTTAAAGTTTTTCGTTGAAAAAACATTTTTTAAATAAAATTGTCTTTTTTTTCTCTGTATTGTATTGTTTATATTATTTTATAAAATTAGTATATAAAGTATCAACCCTAGATTCTATCATTGTTAGATAGTATATTACAATGTTAGTTGGTATCAATGTTAGATGGTATCAATGGTAGATGGTATATTACGTTTATATAAGCAAATTTATGAAGAAATTTACAATTTTAAAATAATTTTAGTTTATAAAGGAAAAGTTTTGTTATAGGTAGCCTGATATGATTAATGCAAAAGTTATTACATTGCATTAAGTTGCGTATTATTATGGTTATTTGGTCTTGCAAGATATCCCGTTTGGTGCCGTAAGAAGCACTTATGCGAACTCCGTAGACTCAGTAGCAATATTCTTAACAATGAGTTTTTTTGTTAGAGTTGCTATTTGTCATAGTTTTTTTTTCTGTCAACTAGAGTAGTGAAATTTTGTTAACGAAGACAACTTTAAATTTTTTATTTATTAGAACAGCTATTTTGTTTTATGCATGTGCAATGCATATGATAAAGTATCTAATGAATAAAAATGAAAAAGTGAGCAAATGAAAAAAAGAAAAAGTTTTTTCTTTTATATTTGAATCACGAAAATATCGCAAAAAGTTATTTAAACGTCAAAGTAAAACCAAAAGAAAAACCATGTCGTTTAATGTTAGATATTGAAAAAAAAATATTTTATTCATCAAGTCTATATTAAGATAATTGTTAAGATAATTAATCTTTTTTTTTTGAGTCCGAACTTTTTAAAGTGGCGTTTAAATAACATAATTTCATCAGTTTAAGCGCTATTTTGTTTTTTATTTTAATATTTGCCGTTCGTTTCCTTTAGATATTTTCACACCTTTTTTTCTAATTATTTAGATATAAAATTAAAGTTTTAAGTGATAAAATGTAGTTTGTTAGGTAGCACAATTTTTTAAACATCGCAAAAAGAAGTTGTGGTGTATTTATAAATTTTTATATACTGTTATATATTACATACAGGGATGAATCTTTCAAAAGTATCAATAACATTCTTGAAAAAAAATTATATATATTATATACAGAGATTATATATAATATATTATACCATATATATATATATATATATATATATATATATATATATATATATATATATATATATATATATATATATATATATATATATAGTTTTATATATATATATATATATATATATAGTTTTATATATATATATATATATTATAGTTATAGTTTATTTATATTTTATATATATATATTTAGTTATATATATATATATATATATATATATATATATATATATATATATATATATATATATATATATATATAGTTTTAAGGTATAAAATGTGTGTTTCGGTTGTTAACATTATTTTGTAAACTATAATTCATAAGCTCTTTACTTCATTAAACAAAACTATTAAAAAAACAAGTTGATACTAAACTTAAGCGATTGTTTCCTATTAGCAAGTAAGGGGTAACTTGATACAGCATTTGTGTGTGTATAATTTTACTTCATTGTGTCATAAACAATTCTTAAAATCATTTCCATTAATATCTACAGTCAATTTTTAAGAGATTTATGTAAATATAATACTAGGAGATCCAATTTCGATTCAAAACCATTATTTATTGACGCTTAAGAAATACATTTAAAACGTAATATTATTTGGATTTCTGAAGCGTGATTTGGACCATTGGATACTTTATTTGGTTTATATTTAGTAATTAATTTAGTTTTTAAGTAAAAACCTGTCTTTTTCTAAGCTATACACTTTATTTTTTTTTAATAATGCTCATAGTTTGTGTCAAGGTACCTTGGTACAAATTTATAAATTAAATTTAAATAGTCTCACAAGTTAAACCTGTTATATTTTGGTAATTAGTAAACTAAACTTTGTAGGTTTACATTTATTCTACAAATTAAACCAATCGCTTAAAAATAAGGCGTATAAAAAAATATCGTTACGAAGCTAAAACCAAAAGTGTTCCATGGTGCCCCACTCTCCTTTATTATTAAATTTAATATTATATATCAAATATTGTTAACATTTGTAATATAAATCAAACATTGTTAAAATTTAGTACTATATATGAAATATTATTCATTAAGTTTCGTATATATCAAAGATTGTTTAAATTTAGTTGTATATAAAATATAGTTTAATTAAGTTCAATAATGTATCATTAGGTAATGTTTAAACTCGAAAATATTTCAATGTGTTCGAATTCACAAATAAGTTTATTTTTGTTTAAATATTGTTATTGACACTTAACTCATATCGACACAATTTAACAGCATGGTGCAGGGTTCAGAAAAGTTATAACTTCAATTCCTATTTCTCTATTTCTCTAAGTTACAATATGAAACACAGTATCGAGAATGTTCACAAACAACATTCTCGATACTGTGTTTCATATTATGATCTAATTATTAAAATATATATAAATATCATGTAAATAAATATGCAAAGTCACATTGCTTTTTTAATATATTAAATAATAACCCTTATTTAGATACTATTAAAAAAAAAAACAGAAAGCAGTTTAAAAAAACGTTAGGAAGTTGAAACAATTAGACAAAAAGTTAATGTATGTTTGGTAATTTTGAAAAAAAGTTACAAATTTAATTTAATTTACTCATTGTGCGTAACGGTGGCAATTCGATCAGCAAAATACATTACTGTAAAGTATTGTGAGTATAACAAAGGATGATTTAAAATTTTCGTTTGGAATTTATAATTTATAATTGGTACTATAATATATTTATAATTGATACTATATATCTTGCTGTTTAACATACCTAAAGTTCTTGAAACGTCAAGCTTCAACAACTTTAATTTAGCTGCAACATTTTGAAATTATTTCAATCTAGGAAAAGCCGGTTAAGAGATTATATATATATATATATATATATATATATATATATATATATATATATATATATATATATATATATATATATATATATATATATATATAACTAATTTATCATTACTCTATTCTTTTAAAAACATTGAGCACTTTTTTTAGTAGAAAGCATTTAAAATTATTATATTATATAAAATTATTATATATATATATATATATATATATATATATATATATATATATATATATATATATATATATATATATATATATATATATATATATATATATATGCATATATATATATATATATATATTATTTTAAAATTTAGATCAGGTTTCTATAAATAAAATTTATATGACTAAATGAAAGAGTAAAATTTATTTATTGACTTCATAAATCTTTATGCTTTACCTACATTGTTCAGCGCATAGTTGAATAAAAACTGTGTGTGCTAAAGGGCTTTATATGTGCTAAAAAACCCGTTAACATAATCTTCTCCGTTTTACAATAGACAAACTGTTTACCTACAAAAACAATTTTTAAATACTTTTTTGTTGTTGTTATTTTCTTGTATAAGTTTTGAAAAATCTGTAAAAAATTAATTAATTTAGATTGAGGTTGTTGAAGCGTTGTTTAATAAAGTAAAAGATTAAATGTACCAAATACATCAAAAACCCCCTCCATCTTGTATTAAGGAAAACAATTTTGGAACCCATCGTTCAATAAAGCTTCTCATACTAGGAAAAGATGGTGTTGGTAAATCAGGTAAATATATAAAATTTTTATACCACTCTGAATTTTTCATTTTAAATAATCTTTATAATAACAAATAAAATTCATTATTTAGCTATTGTTGTGCGTTACCTTACGAGAAGATTTATTGGCGAGTACGATCCGCTTTTAGGTATGCTTGTAACAAACATTGTTGTGTGCTAATTTAAATTTTTTTTAAACTGACTTTTAGGCGACCTACCAACTTTATGTGTCTTATAAATTATAAAGTGTTAATGAGAATTGTTTAATACGAATCAAACAAAACATTATTTTTTATCAAGTGTAAACTTTAGCTAGCTGATGATATAAATTTTAAAAAAATGCGTTTTTACACTTGTCATTAACTTTGTTTCACTTAAGTAGGGGAAGACGGGGCAAGATAGCGAACGTTTTGAAAGGCCTGAATTATCCCAAAACTATCAGTCATGAAGCAATAATACTTTTTCGGTGTGTTTATTCTCAGTTTGCAATAAAAAAAAATTTGAAATAAAAATAAAAATAAAAAAGTTCATAAATTTGTCATTTGGTCGTGTGACCAGGGCAAGATGACTTATTTTGCGATTTATACATCCGTTTTTATGAAATTTTGAAAACTACCAACTATTCTAACTAAAGCAACAAAAAATCAACACGCGTTGCAAAAAAATGATCCTAAGAAAGTTATACCTGAAGGATACCATTGATTATGAATAAACGAAACTGTAGTATTTTTTTTTAAGCGCAAAAAGTAAATTTATGCGTATAAAATTACGTTAATAATATTTAAAAAAACCAATTGCTTTTTTAAAATACAAGATGTAAATATAAGTTGGTTTTCACCCATTTTTAAGTTGTTGTTTTTTTTGTTTGTTTGTTGATTTATATGAAAAAGCCATCTTGCCCTGTTTTCCTTCAAAGCCAGAGGCGATTTTGCGGGGGGAAGGTGTGGGCGTCGGTTTTTTTACGAAATTAGTGTTTTCTTTTTAAAGTTACTTTTTGTTTCAACAATATATTTTTTAGATAAAATAATAAAAAATTATGAGGTTCGCGAATTTGTCAATACTGTTAAAAATATTTTTATACAAGCTTTTTACAAATTTCTTGCAGTTATTTTAAGTTTTGTTTTTCTTAATTTAAATTTGTTGGTATTTGTACAACTTTAGGTTTCCAAAAATTTTTAATGATAAATATGAACAAACTAATTGATAGAGGATTAGAAAAATCTTGCTATCAGAGCCCAAGTGTGAGTAAAGCTCTAAATAAGTGTGCACAAATGTATGACAGGTTAGTTTAAAAAATGAAAAAAGAAACCTTTACAGAAATACAATGACAACCAAGTATATAAACTCTTCAAAACTTTACGACGCAGTAAAACATATAAAATAGTTTTATTATATATAATCTATAATTATTATATGTAATATACTAATTATCATATATAATACATAAAAAATTAAATATATAATGACTTGAGACCCTAAAGCCTAAAAAAAACATAAAGTAAATCATCTTCTTTGACCACATTTTTACGATTGGGAAGTATAAATTTGAATTAATTATAGGTTTCAAAATATTTATTATTTAAATTTGTTTTTTGCCGAAAATTATGAAAAAAACCTTTTTAATCAAAAGCACAACAAAAATTGTCAAAATAAAATAAGCATATTAAATATAAAAAGGGTGAAAGTTAAAATATGAAGCAATCTCTTACAATCACTTAAAAATCATTGAAGAATATATCCTATCAAGTCATTGGATTTGACTTTCAAAACACTTTTCAAAAGGTTTCTCGGGCATTTCAATGTCGTAAGCAGAAGAATCTTTTTTCTTTAACCAATATTGCGTTAGAGTTATAGATCTGATTTCTTTTATTGGTCTTTATGAGTTTTGATTGACTAAACTCTCTTTTAGCTGTAGCATTACTAACAGGCAGAAAAAATAGAAAGCCAACGCAGATTCATAGTTTATAAAATCTTGGAACATCAAAACTTGATATAAATGAATTTGTTTCAAATAAATTCAGTCTTTAGAAAGGTTTTCGGGCCAAATGCTTCTGTTTTTAACAAACTGAGGTTCTTCTATTCGGACTGCAGCTGGGTGTACAGCGTTTTTAAATTTGGAAAACGTCTTAGAAGAGCAGAAAGTTTTGACAAACCTGCACTTTGACTAGTTCGAAAGTAGATGTGATCAAGTATTTTGCAAATATTAAAAATTGAATTTCGAAAGAGAATCTTTTTTTCGAATACTTGATGGCGGCAATTATAAACTCACGAAAATATTCAAAATACTTATCGTTCATTTTTAGAGAATATAGAAACAAGCGTAAACGGACTAGCTACAATTGGCTGAGTAGAGGGATCGTTTTCTTTGTCAGACAAAGACGCCGCAAATGAATCGACGAAATCTGTAACTTGCAATGTTCTATTGAACATCTCTGCTTTGCGGTACTAATAAAAGTCTGGAGTATTGAGATTAAAATTTAAAATGCTAAAACCTGTTTTAGCATTTTGAATGGGTTCCATGACCGCTAGTTTCAATTGATTCTAAATTGCCATTCACTGCATATTAACTATCACTATATATAACTACTATGTATTAACAATTAAAAAGAAAACACTGATAGTTTAATACTTGCCTTTATTACACAAAATATATTCAAAAGTTTATCCGTTGGCAAAAAGATATCCAGATGACGCAAGACGTATTTTAAACGTCTAAAGTTACGTATTTACACAGTTTAAATGCGTATTTAGACGCGTTTAAGACGTATAAAAGACGTCTTGAACGTGACTACCATAGGTAGCTGTTCACTAACTAGTCGCTAGCTCATTTACCACAGGGTTAACTCTCTTGACAATAATAACATTTATTTTTAAAACGTTTCTGAAATATAATATATACAAAGTTGTACTCTCTTAACAATTCTTTCTTTGTATTAACATTAAGCCATTAAAACAAACACATAAATTACTGAGTGTAACTAACATTTTTATTGTCATGACTACTAGCAAATATGTTAACTTACCGTAGTGCAATAGATTTATACAGTAAATTCTTAAATTTGTGAAAATATTTTTATTCCAAGTAAATTTATATTCAAAACAGATAAACCTTACAAAAATCATAAATCTCAAAAAAAGAATTAGAAAAATCTTACAAAACGTGATAAATCGTGCAAAGTGAAAACTGGGCAGATCAAATTTTGGGAAAAAAATTTATTCAAAAAGGTCTGGTAACAGTTTTATTCGAAAAGAATGGTACTCAAGAGACAAAACAAAATTAAGGTTTGTTTAAAAATAATGTTTATTCTAAAAAGTAAATATAAATAAAAATACGCTCTAAAATAACTTTTTAAAACGTATTTATTGTTAGATTTTTAATTTAAAAAACCCATTTTCACACACAAAACATTAAACATAAATATATAATTATAAAAAATACATTATTATTGTATTTAACTTTATCGACTTTTTATTTTAATAATGTCTAAGTGAGAAAAACAATCCGCAAATTTGAATATTTTTGCAAAAGAATCTTGTTTTATATCAATTTGGTCGATAGTAATTTGAGGTAGTTTTTATGGTACCAAGCTGACATAGTTCAACAGTTTTTGTTTGTACGTTAAAAACCCTCGAAAACAAAGAGAACGAGATTCTAATTCCGTGAAATTGCATATTAGTATTTACCGAAATATACCTATATATATATATATATATATATATATATATATATATATATATATATATATATATATATATATATATATATATATATATATATATATATATATATATATATATATATATATATATATATATATATATATATATATATATATATATATATATATATATATATATATATGTATATATATATATATATATATATATATATATATATATATATATATATATATATATATACATATATATATATATATATGTATATATATATATATATATATATATTGTGTTAAGATGCAAATATACCCAATGTGAAGTTGATATAGCTTTTAGAGTTTCACAAAGTTTTCAGATGTTCACTTTTTCGAATCATTTTGCGCTATTATGTTCGGGCTTCATTTTTTTGTAGTAGTAACTCCGACCACATGTGCATATGCATGCAAAAAAAAAAAACGTCGATGTGTGTAACCCCTGATTGTTTATATATGTATTTTTATATATAAAATAATTTGATTTTTGCAAACTTTTAAGTCTTATAACATTTTTAGAAGGTGTGTATACCAAAGTAGTAAAAATGATGAACAACCAAGCAGTATGCGTCAAGTTAAAGGATACATCATCCGGGGTAATTTTTGATTAAGGATTTGTTTTTAAGTTTAACTAGTTTTTTTTTACCTTATTATTTTTTAATTTTTTAATTTAGAAAATTTCATTAATAAAATGTAAAAAAAAAAATTAAACGAATTAAAACAGTTTGCTAAAAATCTTTTTTTAATTAGATTAATTGGTCAAAAAGATCTAACGAACTCTTATGGTCTGACGCTTTGATTCTTGTTTACTCAATAACAGATCGAAAAAGTTTCATTGAAATTCAAAACATAAAAACACTACTTGAACAGTTGAAAAAGAGCAGAGGTTAATGATCTATCTACCATTTTGTGTGTGTGTGCGTGCGTGTGTCTCTATATTATGAATATATATATATATATATATATATATATATATATATATATATATATATATATATATATATATATATATATATATATATACATATATATATATATATATATATATATATATATATATATATATATATATATATATATATATATATATATATACATATATATATATATATATATATATTTAATATATATATTAAATATATATATATATATATATATATATATATATATATATATATATATATATATATATATATATTCAGATATTCGAGGGGCGCTAAATTTTTTTTTTTTATTTTTTTTTGTTTATTTGTTTGTTTGTTTACATTTGACGTAATATATATATATATATATATTACATATTTTTCAAACACAAACAAAGCTTCTAAAAGAAGATCGCAATGATCTTATCGTCAGAAGTCTTTTACAAAAGAGAGTACGTAACATATTATAAAAACGCCTTTTTACAATAAAAGTACGTAAAAAATCATATAAAAACAATAAATCGTGTTTACATCAATGAAAATAAGTTGTAAACAAGTATGACAATAAGTTGATCATACATGATAATAAATATTATTATTTGTTTTTAATAACAAATTCAATTAAAAATATTCTAAGATATTTTCAATAGAAAGAATGTGGTGTTTTAATTTATTTTTAAAAACAGGATAAGTTAGGGGTAAGTCGAAGTTAGGCAAAATAATTTTGTTCTAGAGGTGAGTTGCACGATAAGTGATACAAAATTGATTGAACTTTGTTCCACAGAATGGTTCATTTAAATAATTATTATTCCATATGTTAAACTTGCGTAATGGTTTCAAAATAAAAAGATCTTTAAAAATTAAAGGAGATAAATCATGCTTCCACATATAGACAAAAGATAAATTTTTATATACATTTAGTTTTAGATAAAAGAGTAATAAAGTTTATTTAAATTTTTTTTATCTAAATGAGTACGCGTCTTATATAAAATTCCGATACTTTTTGAAACTTTTGAACAAACATAGTTAGTATGATGTTTCCATGTGATGTTCTCGTCAATGAAAACCCCTAAGTATTTAGTTAATAATCTCTTTTAATTTCAATATGGCTAATAAGAATTTGTAGACTTGGAGGTAGAAAACGTTTTTTGGAGAGCGGGTGGAAAAAAATCCATTTTGTTTTGGTTATATAAAATGTTAATTTGTTACTTTTAAACCATTTAGATATGTTTTGAAATTCTTTGTTCATTATGGAGAAAAGGAGATGGATGTCACTGTTAGAGAGAAATAAGTCATCAGCAAATATAATACTTAAAAGATTTGATGTTTTATGCAAGTCGTTGATATATATTAGAAATAAAAAAGGCCCTAAGATGGAACCTTGCGGAACACCACAGAAAAATTTTAAAAACTGCTTATGATTAAGTTCATTAAAAGAAACAAATTGTTTTCTGTTCGATAAATAACTTTTTTTTTAACCATTTAATTACTCTTTCATTATTCATTATTAAATAACATGTAGGTACCTAAAAATAAAAAAATAAAAAAAAATCCTTCATATATAATATAGGGAAAATTTGATGAATAAGATCGCCAATCAGGATTGCTGTCCCAGGCGGCATGGCAGCTCTCGGCGGCCCTGTATATATATATATATTAGGGTGGGTTGAAAAACATATTTTTTTTTAAACTGACTTGGCATAGCTCTAAATAAGAAAATATCACTGGATTAACAAGAAATTTCGAAAAAAAAAATTTCTAAAGGTGCCCCAAGTCTCTGGAATATTTATAGGGCCCCTAATATTCTGGGTAAAATAATTCTTCAAAAGTAGGTCAACCTGGTACTTAAAAGAAGCGAAATTATATAAAAAGTTCAAAAATAATATTTGTTTTATATAAAATTATTATTTTAAATTTTATTTCTGAATAACTATGGTATTTTGACAAAAAATTATAAAATGTGCATTTTTACAAGTTTTCTAATAATATTTTTTTTAAATATGTTTTTTTATAAAACAATTATTATTTTCAAACTTTTCAGTTTTAAAATAATTATGTTTTTCAACCCACCCTAATATATATATATATATATATATATATATATATATATATATATATATATATATATATATATATATATATATATATATATATATATATATATATATATATATATATATATATATATATATATATATATATATATATATATATATATATATATATATATATATATATATATATATATATATATATGTATATATATATATATATATATATATATATATATATATATATGTATGTATGTATGTATGTATGTATGAGAGTATATACAAATTATGTTTGTGTATTCTACAAATAGAGTGCTCAATGTTCTTAAAGAACAGAGCAATAGTAAATTAAATTAGTAAAAACACATCTAATTTTTGTCTTCAACAACTTGTTTCTACATCAGTAGGTTCATAAGTAAGAAGCATATATATATATATATATATATATATATATATATATGTATATATATATATATACAGAGGCAACTTATGGGGGGTCTTGAGGGTGTTACACCCCACCCCGAAGGAGGTGATTTTATAGTTTTAGTTATATATACAATATGTATATATATATATATAAATATATATATATATATATATATACATATATATATATATATATATATATATATATATATATATATATATATATATATATATATATATATATATATATATATATATATATATATATATGTATATATATATATGTATATTTATATATATATATGTATATATATATATATATACATATATATATATATATATATATATATATATATATAATTTTTTAATAGAAACCTTATTTATCTACTACTTTTAGGGATGCCATATATGATTCTCGGAAATAAACTAGACATGAATCATGAAAGACAAGTGACTGAACAAGAAGGAAGCAAGTTAGCAGCTACAATTGATGCGATATTTTATGAAATGAGTGCTTCAGAGAGCTACCAAGATGTCGAACTGATGTTTGATAAATTTATTCAAGAAAATTGCGAGTTTTCTTTTAAAAGAACTAAAAATCAACTTAAGACATTAGCTAGCCAATCTAGTATAGAAATTCGACAGAAACTATTGATAGAGAGGCCAAAATCGCAACCAGAGCTAAAAGTATTTGATGAAGAAAAAATGGAAAGAAAGGGCAAAATACTGTGGAGAATGTTTAAAGAAAAAATGAACGAGTAAAAAAAAACAACATAAAGATAGGCGAGTAAGCTGTTCTCATATTCTTTATTTTTTTATTAGTTTCTGTCTTAGTTGTTCACTGTAAATATTAGAAGCTTGTTAAATTTTTGCATAAACTGAAGATTATTTGTGTAGAGTAGTATTAAATTTGAAATTTCTGTTCTCTATTTTTTTGTTTTTTAGTTTAAACAAAACTAAATTGTAAAATAAATTTTAAGCATTTTTTCAAACATTTGAAAAGCGTTTTTATTTTTATTTATTATTTTTCAAATTTACAAAAAAAAAAAAAACTTAATTTTTATTATTTCGTATTCCAAACGAAGAATTTTTTACTTAAAAAACTATTTCGTGTTCCAAAAGAAGAATTCTTTACTTAAAAAATATTTTAAAAACGTGTTTTATGATATGTTCTGTAAAAAAGTCTTTGTTTTCATTTAATGGTACTGAGTGTTTTCGATTTTCGAAAAATGGCTTACCTTTTAACAAAAAAAAAAAAATAAGATTAAGTCGTAAAAATAGATTATAGTTGTAAAAAAAAAATACATAATTTAACAGATAATAATGGAAAATGATATAAAAAAGTCATAATCAATTCTAATTTAATTTATTGATCTTCCTGACAATCTTAGATCTAAAGTGGCTTTATTTGCTGACGCTTTAACTTTAAACTCTTTTCTTGACAAAATGCCTTCTCCTTTCGATCGCTTAGAACAGGCAGCCGATCCTGAATCCGATCTCACTTTTCCAACAGCTTGGGTCTCGCAGTGATTTGTTTGCAAGAAAACTCAGTTGTTTACCGCAATAAACTATCGCAATACCGTCGACATTTTTGTATTAATAAATGGTAAAAAACGCATTGTAAACGTAGCTAGACGCATTGTAAACGTAGCTAGACGTAGCTTTATCTGTCAAGCTTGAGCCTCTCTCCCATTGCCATAAAGTTGCATCTTTTTCTCTTAACTACAAATACTATAATCACTGCTCAAATAAGCTATAACCATAAGTTCCACAAACCAAAACTTATTCTTGCTTGACTTGTCTTGCAAAATCGTATCTTTTTATTGTATTTGTTCCTACATGATCAAAAAACTTTTATTCGTCTAGTTTTTTTCCTTTCACTTTATGCCTTTAGAACAATTTTATATTTTCCATAATAGCTTTAATGCTATTTTTTGTTTTCCAGTAATTTCCTTCTTAATAGCGATTGCTTGAATCCTTGTTGGGAGTGAATTAGATTTACATAATGTAAATATATAATACCATTTACTTAATAAAAAAATTTTTTATACTTAACATATATACTTAGTTGTATATGTCTGTTTGTTTATATATTATGTATATAAACTAATAGACACATACAAATAAAATATAAATAAATATATTATATATATATAATAAAAATAATAATAATACATTTTCTGTTGAGGGTTAACGCCAAGTCAACTCTATGACAGTCTCAAATAACAGGTTTTACAAGATTTTACAAAAAAACATAAATTAAACCAACAATTAGTTTGCAAAACATAGCGTGTCTATTTTCGATTTAAACTCATTAACGGACTGCGATTCAACAACTAAACTAGGCAGTTTGTTCCATAATTTTAACACTCAATTTGTAAAGAAATTTTCACGAAGATCATTTTTGAAATAGGTATCAGTAATCGTATGACGATCTGGTTTTTTTAAATTTGCTAGTTTATTTTTTTTTTAGGAGGAACCAGCAATTCAATTTTTTCTATATTTTTATAGCATTTAAAAAATTGTATTAAATACCCTCTTTTCCTTCTTTCGGATAAAGTTGTTAAGTTTAACGAGCATAATCGTTTTTCATATGATAGATCTCGTATTTCCGGGATCAATTTTGTCGCTCGTCTTTGTATGTTTTCAAGGATATTTATAACTTTCTCCATACGAGGTGACTAAACTTGAATTGCATATTCAAGGTATGGTCTTACATAGCTTATGTACAATTGTCTAAAAGATGATTTGGTTTTGTATTTAAATATTTTTGACAATAGACCCTGTCTACTATTTACTTTCGCTACTGCTGATTAAATTTAAACTTCTCATTTTAAATCTCGCAAAATTGTTACTCCTAAGTAGCACTAAGAACTTGTTTAAAATCACCTTGCCCAAAAGTATATAAATGTTTTGGATTTAACTTGCCAATGTGCATAACCTAGCATTTATCTAAATTTAACTTCATTTTCCATGTTTTAGGCCATTCTTCTATTATGTCAATATCATTTTGTAGTTTCGAAATATTAGTTCTTTCATTTAATATTGCAATAACTCCGCTATCGTCCGCATACATCTCGCATGGATTTTTAAGTAATGAACACAAATCATTAATATAAAGATTAAACAACAGCGGACAAAGAATGGATCCTTGTGGGCCATCACTTCTGACTTCTATTCAGAAGTGGTGTCCCACAACCATATAATTAAAATCATTTTTAATTATATGGTTCACTATTTGCTCACTGATTATTCTATCTAGAGTCTTACAAAGAACCGATGTTAAAGAAACTGGACAATAATTAGATGCTTTTAAACGACTTCCCTTTTTAAACAATGGGGAAATATTTACAAGGTTCCATGCCTTAGATACCTCTGCTTCGTCAATTAATTTTCTGAATGATAAAAAGATTGGCAAAGCAAGTTCATCACTACACGACTTTAACACAAAGGGGTAAACACAATCCGGACCCATCGATTTTGTTGTATTCAAGTTTAATAGTTGGTTTAAAACATCACACTTATCAAAATATATATTGTCAATGATTTTATCTGTTAGATCTTCAAATCTCGGTAACTGTTCATTTTCTACATTTTGAACAAAAACTGATTGAAATTTATGTGTTCTATAATATTTTTTGGATCTATTATTATATTTCCCTCAAATTCGATGGCTTTAATGAAGTATATTATAATAATTATAATAAAGTTTATTTTTTATTTTTAAAATGTAGTTATCGGTACTCACGGTATTATATATACCCGTATTATATCTACTTGAAGTACCATGATGTGCTCCAAGAAGTACTCTCGGTATTATTACAAAGCACCGCGGAAGAGGAAGTGTGTGTTTATATATATATATATATATATATATATATATATATATATATATATATATATATATATATATATATATATATATATATATATATATATATATATATATATATATATATGAGGAAAGCGGGGCAACATGGCGAACGTTTTGAAAGCCCTGAGTTATTGCAAAAAAATCAGTCGTGAAGCAATAATACTATCTCAGTATGTTTATGTTATTAAAATCCTTCATTGCCTGTATGAATTTTCAGTCAAAATATATTTCTCCAAAAGTTTACCAATTGGATTTCAAAAAAAGCGAACTTTCATAGAAAGTTAAAAAAAATAAAACTTTCAAATAACATTCAGTTTTAAAATTTATTGGAAAAAAAACTAACATTTTAAAATAAAATTTGAAAAATAGCACTTTTGAAGATATTTTTTTTTAACAAAACCTTCTTTAAGAAAGGTTACATTTGAAAAAAATCGCTATTTATGAAATAGGGTAGAATAGCGTAATATGAGCGAAAATTGGAATATTTTCAAAAACAGTTATGCTGGATCCGAAATTGCCCTTAAACAATTTTTAGGGATCCCTACTGATACATGATCCACTTAGATATTTGGTCAGCCGTAATTTTTTCTTAAAAATACAGAAGTTTTAAAATAGTAGCAAAAGTGCTCATATTACCAGGACGACTTGGTAATATGAGCAGTTAATATTAGTTTAAAAAAATAACATTAAGTAAAAAAATACCAACCTGACAATTAGAACTAATTTTTGGAATATAAAGATTCGTTATTAACAAAACTTATTATTAAATTATCAAATTTAAGCCACTTTTTGTTGAAACAATACTATTACGTTTTCCGCAAATTAAAAAAAAAATTAGTTCGTTATTTTTTTCAATTTTATTAACAGAAACCGTTGAACGATAATTCAATTTTTTTGAATTTAAATTACAGAAAAATATTTAGTATTGTTAAAATATTAAATTTTTTTACTATATTTTGTTTTTAAAAAAAAAGAAATTAAAACCACTGCTATTTTAGGACTTGGTAATTTCAATGAAAAACACTGGCTAATTTCAATGAAAAACACTGGGTAATTTTAATGAAAAACACTGGTATTATGAGCATGTTCATATTACACAAAAATTGCATCTTTAAATAAAGTCAAAACTAAATACTTCTATGCATTGTTTTTCAAACAAAAATGGATTGGATTATTAGCTAACATATTTTCTTTCTGAAAAAATAAATTTCATTTTAGAACCGAAATTTCGCTTCCACAGAATTATTCATGCGTGATGATATTGTTTTAAGAGCGTTTTAATTAGATGATAGCCGCCAAATAGTGCATATAAATTTATGCTAATTGTACTGATTCCTGTTATCACCACATTAAGTCGATTCGAAAAATGCAAAGCAACTTTAACTTCACTGCTTACATCTAAGAAATCTTTAAATATGCTCATAATACCCTGATCTACCTTAACTATAAAATTTCCCTTCTTTTGAGGCTTTTTATGTATTTGTATATGTATATATATTTTTATGTATGTGTATCTTACTATCTTTGACTGATTAATATAATCTTTTGCCCTAAATAGAGAAGATGAATATAAATAGACTTCACATAAGTTATAATTTCTATTTATAAAATAACAAATTTATAAAAATAAAAGTATAATGTAAGCCCTTACAGTGTTATGTAACTGTGGTAGCATAAAAAATCCAAACAATGTAAACACTTTGAACGTAAAATTAAAATTAAGTTATAATATAAAAAAATAAAATTTAAGATAAACAATTATCTAACAACTTTTCAAAATGAAAAAAAAAAATATCAAAAAATATGTAACATTTGAGCATACAATAGAAGTAAAAAACATTTTAAAAAATGTAATTTTAAACTAGGATCCTGGACAAGAAATATTTTGTTGCACCGGATAACTTGCACCGGATAACTTTGTCATTTAAATAATTATTCATTGATTAGAAAAACTCCATTAGTTTATAACCCGTCTAAATAATACAAAATAAATTGTAACGTAAAAGCTACATCAAGAAAAACAATGAACAACAACCTTTTCTAATCTTTCTAATTTAAAATTATTCTGGCAGAAAAAAATCTAAAGCTTTTTAGTTTCTGAAAAATTCAAATAACTAAAGAAAAATATTTACACCCGTGTTTTTAAGATAAATGAATAGACTGATCTTGTATTTATTATAATATTTTTGTCTCTTGGTTATTTGGAGTTTGTACAATATGTTGTTGTATAACCTGAGACTGAGGAACAACTGTTATAGTATTGGTAGCTCCCGAAGGAACTTCTCTTAACTGAAACGGAACAACATGACCATCTATTGGTCTTTGTATAATAACAATAGTTTCACCATCAGGTGTCTTAACAATAGTGTTCGTACTTTCTGTTTTTATATGTTGGTTAGGTTGCATATGCGATTCAATTGTTCTATGATCTATATTATGATAAGCAATAGGAATAGCCGATGGAGATAAAATATTACTACCAGGGTATGAAGACCTAAGAACAAAGGCCGGAGTGTGAACACCCTGCACAGGAATAGCAATTGGATGAAAAATTGCAGTTGATGTTGCAGGCATCGGTACTGTAACATAAGCCGGGTAATTTGAAGTAGGAGCTGACGTTGATTGAACAAGTGTAATGGGTTGATTTGTGGGAGATACAATAACAGAATTTCCATGATGATGAGCCATCGTTGGCGTAAAACCACTTCCCTTCTGAACAGCATAATATTGCATGCCATCTGTAGCATAAACAATTTGAGCTGCCTCTGCTCGTGGTGAGATCAAATTTTCATTTTCTGGCGCATGAACAATTCGAGCCCAATTAGAAGGAATTGTGTAAGGTTTACTTGTTGTAGTTGGACTCACTATCATAGTTGGAGTGCTATATCCTCTTTTAAGCCCTTTAGGTCGCCTCCTAGGTCGGTATTTATATTCAGGATGTTCATCTTTATGTAGTTTGTCGAGCCTAAGAACAAATAAGTAATGATAAAAGAACTAAAATGTATAATTTTAAGTTAAAAAAAATGCTATTAAAGAAAAAATTCAAAATTTTACATTCAATTTTCATTTAAATTTTAAACTTCAAAAAAAAACAATTTGTTGTTTAATAAATTTTAGTTTCAAACATTTTTGATTGCCATTAAAATTTGTAAACTTTTAACTTATAGTAAAGACAACTTCTTCATTTAAATATAAATTTTTTGAAACACAAATCCAAAAACTTTGGAAAATTTAAGAACTATAGTTATGAAATATGTACTTTATGATTTCTTACAATAACCACTTCGAGTAAAGGCAGAAAAAAATCCTGTAGTATTCTTCATTAAAAAAGAAAAAAAAGGAAACACAAAATCACATGACAACAATCAAATTACACATGACATAAAATTAGTTTATGATTGAGGATATAATAACTGGATGTATTCAATTGTAAAGTTTATAAAACCATATTTTCGGCAGTTTTTGAATTAACCTGTCATAAACCACCAGAGTTAAAAAGCATTATGCTATAGGTATGATATATTATTAACACATAATTATAAAAATGCAACGGTTTTCATTTTTATTGGGATTTAATTCAAAGAGATTTTTTTTTTTTAAATCTTTTTGAATATTTAAAAAAAAAACACAAACACATAGAAAAAGTAATAATTTGTCAAATAATTTTTATTGTTTTTCAATCTTTAATGCATAAAATCAATGAAAAATAAATAAATGATATTAACAAAAAAATCAAATAATATTGGAACCATTTTATGTATTAAAGCTGGATTTCTTATACTAAACAATCAAAGTCAAAAAATCTTTCAAAAAATGAGTATTTAAATCTTAAGAAAGATGAAAAAAGGGGATCCACAGAAGAAAGAATCCTCTGAAAGAAAGGATCCACTGAAGAAAGGATCCACTGAAAGAAAGGATCCACTGAAGAAAGGATCCACTGAAAGAAAGGATCCACTGAAAGAAAGGATCCACTGAAAGAAAGGATTCACTGAAAGAAAGGATCCACTGAAGAAAAGATCCACTGTAGATTTGGCACTGCAAAAATGAATTTAAGTTTTACTTAAACATAATAGTCTGGGCTGGCATTCCTGACCTAAAGAATGCCATTAAAAATGACAAAAAAATAACAACCGGCAAGCTTGAGGATTTACAGTTTCTGAAGGACCAGTAAGAGGATAGAAGATTTTTGATTGGATTAGATAATAAAAAGTACAGAAAGAAACTTTGTATTTCTTACTGAATCTTATGTATTTCTTATTAGTAAATTTTTAAATTTTTTTTAGAAAACAGTAAGTAGCAAAAAGAGAAAGCTGCAAATGAAACAATCAAAAAATTAAAATTAGAAGGTACATCTAATTTTTGAGTTTAACAAAAATACTAGTGAAGACACCTCGTGTGATTCTGATTTTGATTCTGGTGATTGGTTTAAAAGAGAACACAACAAAAATATTCGATTTCACAGATTTAAAATACAGTCAACAGCTAGAAAAATAAAGCATGCTAATCATGATACATTTATGATAGCAAAAGAAGATGTTCAACAAGTGAATGAATGAATCCTAATATCTGTGCATAGAGCATTTTGATGGCAAAACATTAATTGAACTAAATATTAATTGAAAAAGATAGACTAGCTGTTCTTGTAAATATTGTCGAAGACCAGTACAATGGTATAATGGACCTTCTTAAGGAGTAAACTTTGAATCTATAGTAAGAGGAATATGTTTTGATACTACTCCAAGTAACACTGGATTAAAAAAATGTTCTATAATTAGAATAGCCCATAGTATGGGCAAATATCTTTTACTTATTGCATGCAGTCATCGTGTATGTGAATTCCACAGGGCCAAATAATTCTGCTTTTAAAAAATTAAAAACTGTTTTTAAAAATCCTGGTATTAATTACAAATTAAAATGATAAAGTTTTGAGCAGTAACGGGGGAACTTTTTTTAAGAAATTTACTTTAAGTAAATTGCTTAAAAATGTTCCCCCCTTAAGTCTTTAAACTATTGTCAAGAATTTATTGCAAAGGTAAGAAAAAAATAAAGAGAAGATAGGAAAGAGTTTTCAGAACTTGTTGAGAGTTGCCTTTCTCTAAGAAAACTGTAGTATCTAAAGCTACAGCTTCTTTCAAACCGACTTGAGTTTGTAAATTACAACAATGAACTCGAGACAGAAATCAATAAGTGAATTTACAGTTTACTTTTGTGCAGAATGGTATTTACAGGCTAATGATGCTATAAGAGTTCCTTTTCTTGATATAAAAGCAATACAATAAAATTCACTAGTACCAAAAACTTTGTTCTAAATCATGTGCTGTCAATGCAATTTTAAACTCTCTATACAAACATAGTTGGTATCTAGATTCAACAATGATTCCTTTTGCTTTGTTGGATGATTTGTCATTTGAGGAAAAAAGCAAATACTACAAAAGCAATTCTAATATTTAAAATGCTGGTTTTAAGTTAACTTCTTTTAATAAAAGAAAGAAAAGTGGTAAAAATTAACAAAAATACAACTGAATTTATTCATTTTTAAAATATAATCCAATAACATCAAACTATTATTAACCCAATAAGCACAAGACATGTTTAAGACATATAAAATATGTATTACTACATTTATTTGATATCTTAAACACGTATTGTGCTCACTGGAAAATGTTGTAAATTTTTTAATTCAAAATACAAAAATAAAATTTTTTTGACAAAAATTACCATACATTTTTATTTATATATTTATATATTTGTATTTTTACTGGAATATATAGGCAAAAATAAACATTGTAGAAAAAAAAAATTCAAAAAGTTTTTTTATTTAGTTAAGTCTCTTATTTTTTATTTAGTTAAAAGTCTCTTATTTTTTTGTTAAAATCAAATTCTTCAAAAATTAAATCCTCAGAACAACTAAGTTTATAAAAACTTTTTGGGCTCACTTTTCAGAAGTTTGATGTATTGCAGTTTTAGCCAATCCACCTTTTCATTATGCATTGACTTTTTTCTGTTCCAAGCTTTGCAGTAATAAATAACTTTTCTTTTGACAATAAATGCACTTCAAATTCAGGTAACTTTTTTTTCAGTTTTGATGGCCCAAGACTCAAACAAATATTTGTTGATGATACTTTTTCTGCCTATCAATTATAGAAAAATCTGTATCACATTTTGAAATGCTGAAACCAGGTTAAAAAAATTTCATATTTAACTCACTTAATGAATGGTTTAAAATTTAACAGTGCAAGAACAAATTTAATATTTCTGCTTTGCCCTTCACAGCTGAAGCTGTATATAGTAAGAGTCTCGATTAATTTCTGCAAAAAATAACAAATATGTTCAATAAGGCATGATAAAATTTCTTGATCTCCTCAAGGCGCAACACTTTCATCCTAAACATACATATTACCTATATTTTTTACTTCATCATGAATCTTTAGGTTAAATACCCACAACTGGTGTTTATAATAAACTAAGGATGTAGTGAGGTATGGGACTGGTAATGTTTTTTGCATGCCAAAAACAATAACTTTTTAAGTGCCAATACTCAGACAAGCTTAATTGATCTTTTTTTTTCTTTAATTTCTTCAACTTTTTCAGCTCTTCGTTCCAACTTGTTCTTCAAAGATTTTATTATCTAATGATTTATTTTTCATATTTATAGAATCACATGTTTTACAAACCTTTCTTAAAACAAATAATGAAGCAGGATTGACTTGCTCTGTTTCATTCTTACAAACTCTACTAACTGTATTCTTCATACAGAATTTTTAAATTAGAACTTGGTGATAAATAATTTGTTGGTCTGTAATCTTGAATAATGAGATTTGTATGATGAAAATTTCTTAATGAAGCTATTGATAAATCGTTATTAAATTAGTCTCACTAGTTTTTTTGTAAGACTTGTGTCTACCTTTTTTTTTTTTTTTTAATTATTAACCTCCCCAAGGCTCGAGAGGGCTACTACAGTCGAGGAGGCTACTTATTATTTTTTTTTTTTTGTAAATCGTGGTACAACCCTCTCTCAACTCCGAAACATGAACCTTGACAAGCAAGGCTGCTGCGTGGAGAAATTAAGTTGAGCGCGGTACTTCCAGGGACATGGTGGGAGTCGAACTCCGAACCTCTCGCTTACAAAGAGAGCGCTCTTACCACTACACCACTACCGCATTTATTTACCTCTCTTATCAGATAAAACTTCAACATCTAGTCTTTTTTGTTTAAAGGTAGGTGTTATGTTTTCATAAGGAATGCATTAAACTCTAGCTTTATTCCTTTGAGATAACTATTTTGGTATATATTTTTTTGAGGCTATTGGACTAACTTTACCCAATATAAATGCTTTTTTATATGACCAACCCATAAAATAATTTTTTAGCAGCTGTAGCGCAGTTAGCGTGCTTGCCTTAGAAGCTAGAAACCCATCATTCAATGCCACTTCTTGGCAAGCTTTATAACATCCATAAGGAAATAGTTTTTTTAAATGCTCTTCCGTGGTGCTTTGTGACAAGACCGTATAGACTTCTTGGGGCACCTAGAATAAATTTACTTAAATTAAACTGCTATCACCTAAAAATAAATGATGCAGTTAAAATTAGTAAAATTCAACCACTTTATATAAAGATTTATTTAATTAAGTATTTTAAAAACAACCTTTAATTTCAGAAAAAAAACTAAATTACAAACATAAATCTTTTCCTTTATGCTATCAATGACATACTTTGAAGAGAGTGATGTGTTACAAAATTTATTAACACCATTTTGTATGCAGATTGTAGCTTAAAATATTTTAACAAAGGCCGCTATAAAAAAAAAAAAACTCAAAGTAACTGCTGCTCAGTGCACTTAAATATTTTAATTATAATTTATTGTGGTTTGCAAAGAAAGATTATGTAAGTCATTTTTTAATATAAACTCATTTTTTTAAATTTTGTCGTGTAGGCTGGTTTGATGCTTAACCATCTATTTGTCATG